CAATCTTAATTCGCTAGATCTAGCAAATCACATACCGAGTATTTTGTTCCCATCTATGGGAATAAAATACTCTGTATGTGATACATATAGTTATACCTCTCGATTTGCCCTCGCGCTAAGTCTATTCTAATCATCACTGTCGCTTTTTTATCCGAGATGATGTCACCGCTAAACGGGTTGTTTTGTTTGCTTGCTTGCGCTGAATGGCCATTACAGATTATTGAAGGATTATGATAAAATAGGAATGGGGCAAGGGAGGATATGCACTGCAGGTGTTTAATTTATATCACAAAGGCATCATTTCCGGCATCGTGCAGAGTCACTATCTTCCCCTCCTCTACACTGCGGCATCTCTGCGCCCCACACGCGGCGTCCTTACTCCACGGCCGGCCGCCGCCAACTGACCCACTCGCCGGGCGCCGCGACCTGACCCGTGTCGCTGCCGCGGCCTGCGCAATAGAGTCGGGGCTGGAATCCGGGGGTTCGGCCGGCCGGCCGCCTCTGGAGCGGGGGACTTTTTTAGTAGACCTACTGTACCTACTCATTCTTCCTTGTTTTGGTACTGGCTTTGCAAGAAGATCAAACAGACGGCCATGTGCAATATCATTCCCCACGATCATTGCAAATAATACCTACAGCGTTCTTTCATTGAGCTCAAGAGATGTTTGTTCTTATGCAAAGGTTTTTATCCCACGCCCCACTGGGGGGGGGCTATTCATAGCCCCCTCCCGTTTTTCTGCAATAACTTCCAAACCACTTGACGTATCAACGCCAAACTTTCAGCACCTTCGGCTGCATCAATTTGACACCTTGTGTCAAAATTTGAACTTCGTAGTTACTATAGGTCGGCCGGAAATGACGTCAGAGTGACGTCATGTTCGGCCGATTTCGACGCAAAACATTGAACCACGGCAATCGCTCCCAAGAGCTCAGTTTTTAAGCTAGATTCAATTTCTTTGCATGAAAGGACTCAGAATTGGCTGCGCTAACAAATTGTTATCTAGGATTTTCAAAATTTTTAAAATTTCGAAAATGTTATATTATAATATTCAAAATTTATATTTTTATATTTTTTTCAAAAAGTTTTTGATTTTTCGAAAAAAAAACGGTATAGATGTGACAGTACGCATGCCTATGACTAACTCTAGCAAGTGTTATCTAAATATCTTCAAAAATGGCCAAGTTATACGCATTATCGCAAAAAATTCACAATTATTAATTTTTCAAATCAATTTTTCAGTACGTATTTGACATCGTACACCAATATAAATAACACCATCATGTTCCTGAGCTCAAACTGCATCCAATAGACACATTTTTGTTGAAAATTTTCAACTTCAAAATTTGATCTTTTTTACCTGAAAGTGACCCGACCTAAGCTAAATTCGACTCAAAATGACCTCAAAAGACACAGACGACATCAAATTTGAAATATTTGGCCTAAATGGACCATAAAACATGTGTCACATGACCGACGCATGATATAATATTTCCGTGACCTGTGATGACCTGACCCTGACCTGAAAATCAAAGTACAAGTTTGGTACCCCCAAGGTATCTAGAGCATCTGTTCACGAGTGTTCAAACCAAAAATGAGCCTGATCTGACTTGTAAGACGGCGGCCAGAGCCAAAAATGTGAACAAGCCAAAATGCTAATAATTTTTACTTTGACCTGACCTGTGACGTCATCGGTGACCTCGAGGTCAATGAAATTTGGTTTCGCTCGACAGTTTTTTTCCGGGGCTATCAGACTCCGTTTGAATTTTGACGATCGGCCCAGTAGTTTCGGAGTTAGGAGGGGGGCTATGGAGAGCCCCCTCCCCCCCCCCCAGTAGGGCGTGTTATACGCAGACCCCAGTGGGGCGCGGGTTATGGGCTTTATCTAAAAATTCAAGCTCGTGTATTCAGTCAGGGAATATCAAATTAAATAATTGTATTATGAACCACAAACAGACATCACAAACTAAAATGCTACACTAATTACTTCTGCACAAATTCTGCGATGTTCTTACCAGTAGTTTCGGTAGTTTCCACTGAATGCATAATACGTGTAAAATAATGAAATACATTCACATCAGCAACCATCAAAGAAAGCACATTGTTCCACCTTTGTGGTTTCCAGCAAATGACTCATGTTATACATTTTGGCTTTCCCATGATGATATGCTAATGCTTTTCGCCTGTCGCCGTAAAGAAGCACGGAAAGTTGTCTGGTAAGTACGAATACTAATCTGAAGACAAGCTAGGTATGTGTATGTATGTAGGTACATATTTTACATCATTCGTTTATATTGCGTCGTTTGGCAAAGGTTTCTACACATGGTTTCGTTTTACAAAAGCGATGTCATCTCTCTAAGTACCAGCTTTTCATGGAATATCAGCTCAATATCATGTCAACTGATGCCAAGAGCATTAAAAGCTTAAAAGCACACAAAGCTCATTCACTGAAGGACGCTGGGTGGAGAGCGCACCACGACTGACTCTCAGCCTCTCAGCTATGGTATTTTACGGGTCGAGGCAATTGTCTGGTGTTACGCTGCATTCACTGATGCAGTCTCCAAAGTGTTTCATGGAGGGATGCTGCTGTGTGAGTTACGCAGTCTGCTGTGTCGGGTAGAATCGGATGCTGCTGTATGGGATAGTTGGTGGGTAGCAACCTCCGTCTCCGGATACTGTTCTATGCTGCGTTGCAGTTTCCAGGCGACGGTGATGCTTTTCTGTGAACAATTGTAGTTTCTGAATGCATTGTGACGTAAACCTCTACATACAGATTACAGAGGTCCGTGATTGTGATACATAATTCTTATTGAACTGATAGCAATATCATATTATGACACTCGATCGGTGTTATATGTAGTGTAGCGCATATACCCATTCTTTTACAATATAGGATAGCGTTCAATGCATTTGTGGATCAACACCAAATATTAACCCGCGCCCCAGTGGCGGTCTCAGCCAACTTCGCCCTAGTGGGGGGGGGGGGGATATGTTACCACCCACCTCTAACTCAAAAACTAAGAGGGCTAGAAAGACGCGGTAAAAAGCGGTCGATAGCTCTCAATGCGTACGTTTGAAAGTATTTCAGTCATTTTTCATCTTAGAGCAATATTGGGATCACTAGAGGTTATCAAAGGTCAAAATTTGCCAGTTGTCATAATATTTTTCAGAAAACATACCGTTATCTCAGGAACTATGGTAGCTAGAAAAACGCATGGAACAGCAATCGATAGCTTTTGAACTCTTCTTTTGATAAGGTCATAATCAAAATTGACCTCAGGTCAACGGTTTAGCCTCTAGCCCTATTCCTGGCGGGGGGGGGGCCTCAGGAGCCCCCCCCCCCTGAGGTTTTTTGGTTATTTCTCCCAAACGCGTTGAGCTAGGAAGCTCAAATTTTCTGACTTTTCCTAAAAGGCTTCTACGCAACATGTCTGAAAATTTTGAGTTGATCTGACCTCAGGTCAGGTCACCAGAGGCGGTTTGGTGACCCTACCTCAGAAAAGTTTGCAATCACGCCAGAGCTAGAGTTTTTGACCGATCAATTTCTTCTCTTCAGCCTTTAGTTAGGGTACCAGTATGTGCAATTTGTATATCTCGGAATTTTGATATCGGTGACCTAAGGTCAGGTCAGTTTCGCGACCTCCCCATTATAAGTCAATGGGGGAAAAATCAACTCCCTGTTTTTACCACTAAAACGGGTCGCAATGGCCCCATATACCATACATGACTTCATATACGATCAACCTTCACTACCTTGAGGTCTGTTTTGCTGTTGGGCAGCTGTGAGGTCATGTGACGTCATCAAAGGTCACCAAAGGTTTTTGGCCAATAACTCCGTACATGAACAAGATACAGACGCGTGGATGGTCTCATTGTGTTCAGCTCGTCAAGACGCATCGAATGATATACATGATGACCTCGAGGTCACGTGACCTGAGGTCAACCTTTGACCTTGACCTTTCGAGGTCAACATATATATCATTCGATGCGGATTGACGAGAGGATCACGATGATGCCCTTAGTTTGTTCCTATCTTGACTAATTCGAAAGTTATTCGAGAAAAACTCTCTCCATATCTAGCGCCGCCATTTTGACTTTTTCGACCCCTGTGACGTCATCTTTGACCTGACCTGAAAATGACCTTTGTAAAAATTGTAGATCTTGACCGTGCGTATCCGATGCCGTTTACCGCTTGTCGCTATCTTGCTTCGTTCTCGAGATCTCAGGGGGGGCCGAATCGGCCCCCCCGCCAGTTTCTTGTCCCGGCGGAGCCCGCCAGGAATAGGGCTAGAGGGCAAACACTCCAAAAATAGCTGTTTTTACGAAAAGTGTTTTTCGACAATAACTTTCGACTACAAAAAGCCACGACATTTCTATTGCCAGAATCGTGTTCCTCTCGCCGACACGCGTCGAATGAACTATAATTTGACCTTGAAAGGTCAACTTGAAATTTTGACCTCAGGTCAAGGTCATGACCTGACCGGAAAAGGTCATGTTGCACATCAGTCGATGCGTCTCAACAAGAAAAACACAATGAGACCATCTCCAGCGTTCTATCTCTTTCCAATCGCGAGTTATTGGCAAAAATCTGTTTGTAGCCTCAAATGACCTCGGATGACCTTTCTAGAGGCTATCAGCAAAAATGACACCTAGGTCATCACGGGTGGTCCAAATCATTGTAATTCTGAAATATTTGGACTGTTCCTATGCGTACACACGGATCTAGAGGCATTTTCATTTTTCTCCATTGACTTGTAATGGAAAGGTCACGCCACTGACCTGACCTTAGGTCACGGATATAAAAAATCCGAGATATACAAAGTGTAGGCGCCCATAACAGCATGCCATCCACCAAGTTTAAAACCTTTCTGACGAACACTGCAGGCTGGACATGATTGCAAACTATTTTAGACTTGATCAGTAAACTTGACCTGGTGACCTGATCTGACATGACCTGGGGTCGAAAATTTCACACATTATCCAAAATTGATGTACCAAAAGCTACCCCAAGCGGCGCGGCGCTACGCGCCGCGGTTTTTTATTCACACGCAAAAAACGCGACAGAGTGGTAACATATGCCCCCCCCACACACACACACACTAGGGCGAAGGTTAACAACACTAAAGAGTACAATACGCAATCAATAAATGGGACAGTTTCTTGTTATGCTTAGCGTCACTTTACATAAATCATACAAATCCTGCCGAAACTCTCCTAGACTCCGTGACATTGATAACAATCAACTAAGACTTGTAACAGTTCTATAGCGTCACACCGCCTGCGCTCATCACGTGCCGCCCTTCTCTTCCTCCACGGGGTACGCCCCGCCGTGCTGCTTCTCGTCGAGGTAGGTTATATGTTCGTCGCCCATCTCCGTCTCCCGGCGCTCCAGGAGATAGGTGCCCACGTGGCAGCTGCCCGCTATCCCGACCACCAGCAGCACCACTGCAGTGAAAGAAACGTCAGAGATCTGTATCAGCACCACTGGGGAAGGGAGTAACGTCAGAGATCTGTATCAGTACCACTGATTAACCCGCGCCCCGTAGGGGGGGGGGCCGAAACGGCCCCCCCTGTACTTTTCGGTCGATATCTCCTAAACGGCTAGAGATATCGCCACCAAACTTTCAGGACCCCTCCGGGCATCAATTTTACACATTGTGACCAAAAATTTTTCCAGAGGCTATGATAGGTTGGCCACAAATGACGTCAGAGTGACGTCATGTTCTGTCATTTTCGACCGAAAAAAGACCTTCGCGAGAAGACCTGTCAGGACTACAGCTTTGAAGATACAGAAAAATGATCAAGACATAAAAGGTGTAGAATTGACAGGGCTACAAAACTGCAATCTCGAATTTTTGAAATTTTTGAGTTTTGACCCCCAAAAATCAAAAAAGCATTTTTTGGATATATTCGTCAAAAAATCCAAAAAGTTTTTTGAGTTTCGAAAAAACCGGAATATATGTGATAGTGCCTACCGTCTTCTATCTACATACCAAATTTCAGATCGATACCTCGTTTTTTGGCCAAGTTATAGCGAAAAAACTGTTCAAAAATGATGACGTCAAATTTTCAAACTCAATTTTTGGCAATTCTAGAACTCGTAGAGCAAAACGAAGACCACCATTAGACTCCCCGTGACGAGCTGCATCGAATCGATACCCATTTTATGCAAAAATATCAACTTTGAAATTTGACCTAATTTGACCTGACCTTGACCTGACCTTCACAAAAACGTGACCTAGGCTGGCCCCAAAGGCTGCCTAACCCACATAATCGCATTTGTCATGTAAAATGGACCATAAAACATGTATCACACGACACATTCATATTGTGACCCCCGGTGACCTGACCTCGCTGTGACCTGACCTGGTATCAGTGACCTCAGATAGCAAAGTATGTGTTTGACGAACAATGTACCATCGATGGTTTTCAATAAATTACCAATTTAATCGCTTTCACAGCACATTTCTTGAATTGCCTGTGAACGGTGAAAATCTGACCTTTGACCTGACCTGTGACGTCATCGGTTTGACCTAGGTCAATGAAAATTGGTCACAAGGTAGTTCCCGGGTGGGGCTATCGAACGCCGTTTGAATTTTGAAAATCGGCCGGTAACTTTCCGAGATCTTAGGGGGGGCCGAAACGGCCCCCCCCCCCCCCTACGGGTGGTAGGGTCCGCCGATAGCCCTACGGGGCGCGGGTTAAAGAAGCGATACCAGACATTTGTCAGTACCTACTGCACTGGAGTGACCATGACACATGTCATTGGCAAATGGTAGCAGGCAGCAGCGCTTTGCTGACATAAGACATACCACCAGCAATGCATTTCTGCTGCTAGAAGGAGTGACGCTATACTAGCCGTCTTCACGACGGGCTATCCGGCGAGTGCACTTCATTTGACCAAATCTGCACCTAATCTCTTTTACGGCAAATATCTTTATTTTATGAATTTATTTCAGCGTTTAATCGATGATGCTCCCTGATAATATGACAAAGCAGGCATATAAGCAATTAGTACAACCCTAGCTGATAGCTACTAAGAGACACACTGAACCTAATTTGACCAAATCTGCACCTAATCTGCACCAGATGTGCACCAAATGTGTACCAGATGACCGTCGTGAAAACGGCTACTGTCGCATACTATGACGTGTGATAGTCAAAGCCTCACATAACTGTATTTTTAACCCGCGCCCCACTGGGGTCTGCGTAACACGCCCTACTGCAGGGGGGGGGGGCTATTCATAGCCCCCCTCCTAACTCCGAAACTACTGGGCCGATCGTCAAAATTCAAACGGCGTCTGATAGCCCCGGAAAACTGTCGAGCGAAATCTAATTTTATTGACCTCGAGGTCACCGATGACGTCACAGGTCAGGGCAAAGTAAAAATTATTAGCATTTTGGCTTGTTCACGTTTTGGGCTCTGGCCGCCGTCTTACAAGTCAGATCAGGCTCATTTTTGTTTCACACACTCGTGAACAGATGCTCTAGATACCCTGAGGGTACCAAACTTGTACTTTGATTTTCAGGTCAAGGTCAGGTCATCACAGGTCACGAAAATATTATATCATGCGTCGGTCACGTGACACATGTTTTATGGTCCATTTAGGCCAAAAATTTCGAATTTGATGTCGTCTGTGTCATTCGAGGTCATTTTGAGTCGAATTTAGCTTAGGTCAGGTCACTTTCAGGTCAAAAAAGGTCAAATTTTGAAGTTATAATTTTCCAACAAGAAAAGGTGTCTATTGGATGCTGTTTGAGCTAAGGAACACGATGGCGCTATTTATATTGGCGTACGATGTCAAATAAGTGGTGAAAAATTGATTTGAAAAATTAATAATTGTGAATTTTTTGCAATAATGCGTATAACTTGGCCATTTTTGAAGATATTTAGCAAAAACTTGCTAGAGTTAGTCATAATAACGCGTTCTATCACACATGTTCCGGTTTTTTCGAAAAGTCAAAAACCTTTTGAAAAAATGTAAGAATGTAATTTTTGAATTTTATTATATAAAATTTTCGACATTTTCAAAATTTTGAAAATCCGAGATAGCAGTTTGATAGCGCAGTCTATTTTGAGTCCTCTCATGCAAAAAAATGGATCTAGCTTAAGAACTGAGCCCTTGGGAGGGATTGCCGTGTTCAATGTTTTGCGTCGAAATCGGCCGAACATGACGTCACTCTGACGTCATTTCCGGCCGACCTATGGTAGCTACGAAGTTCAAATTTTGACGCAAGGTGTCAAATTGATGCAGCCGAAGGTACTGAACGTTTGGCGTTGATACGTCAAGCGGTTTGGAAGTTATTGCAGAAAAACGGGAGGGGGGCTATGAATAGCCCCCCCCCCCCCAGTGGGGCGCGGGTTAAGCATGTTCTTGCTAAATATTCCATGGCTCGTGCTCAAAGATCAAGGTGCGCAAACATCAACTTTAGAACGATCCCCTCTTTTACCAGACTAAGAAATTACAGAATGTGTACTGCATAGGCTAATTTGTACCTATTCAAAGTCAAAATCTACACACAGCATCCACGCGCTATGGCAGCGCCAACGGAGGCATATCATATCCGGCACCTCTGCTCTGCCTATCTGTGCATTCTTTCCTCAGGCGGGGCCGTGAGGAAGGGCGTGGCCATCCCACGTGGCGCTGCATGACTCGGCTCGGGCGTTCCAGCAGCGGTCCAGCCCGACTGAAGGGACTCTCTAAAGTACACGAATGATCCTATAGGGGTGCCAGAGGTGGCCCACCCAGCTTAGATGAATAGAGTCATGGGATGCACAAATAGTCCGAGGTGCTGATGGTGGTCCAGCCCAGATGATGAGACCTTTTAAACGTAGAGTACACTAATGATCAGGAGGTGCGGCCTAGAAAACCAACAATGCCGGTCACCTCGGGACTTTACAGTTCACACTGGTAAATCTGCAGGACTTCACGGGCCGTGATATGACGCAGTTCTCGGTGAGCTTGGAGCGCAGTTAGTGCATGGGTTCGGCGCAGCTGCGGATGAATTGCAATTCGGAAGTTTGTGCCCATGGGTGTCTGCATGTGCGATGTAAACACAACAGCAGACAGGCCCTTTTCCAATCAAGGTGGCACACGTCATTGAAAAATACACATGCACAACACCCAGTGGTAATAGCTGAAAGGGCAGAAGAATATGCGTAAAAAATGCACAGATTCGTATCCACATGCCTAAATCGTCGTCCATGGTAGCAACAGTGAATTGGCTCATTCCATATTTGGCCACGTGTAGTGCGTATCAAGCTGATAGGCGTCTTTAGGATGCTGTTTTACTTAACATTCAAATAATCCTCTTCTCTTTTTAACACGACACTATAGAAATGGGCAATGATCTCATCTCATGAACTGACATGCTTTCATTGATGCTTCAAGCCGGGTCTCTGTCCGCCTCACGGCTAACCAATATTCAGCGTTTACCATAGAGGTCGAAGCGGAAAGAACCTCCATGTTTGGCACTTCAATCTCACCGGGAAGAGCTCGAAAGTCCGGCTCACGCAACAGTTACAGCCTGCACGAGTGCTGCTTTAGATGCCTCTCTCCGGTAAACCCACACAACGAAACATTCGTGACGTCATTTTATGTTCATGCAGCGTCGATGAAATCAGAGGGCATAACATCAGCATACACCCATTATGAATTCGGGCCACGCTTTCTACCGTATATGAACATCCCTGCAGGTATAATATCAGCGAGAGTCGCCATTACCATTAGCCAGTGCACGTGCTGGGCTTTGGCAGACTGCCAGCCGTGCCACGTGAGCTTTGCTGCTTGTTTCACGCTCGCCCACACATGGCTACATGCATTCAGAGCGCGTCCCTCCCGGCTTCATGTGTCCCATAACGGAGCTTCTCCCGGTCCGCCACTTTTCATAATGATGGCAATAGAGCATAGGGGCTGCACCAGCCGCTGAAGAGGGATGCATCGGTCGAAGGGGATCTATATTTGTAACCGTAACCGACTATCTCCGTTTGTATGACTTGATTCTTACATATTTACGTAGTCTGTTTATATAGCCTTGGCCCTTGAGTTTGTCAGGGCTTCCCTAAAGTTTTTTTTTTTTTGTAACACACGCACCGACGGGGGGCGGATATCCGCCCCCCCCCCTGAGGTTTTTCGCGAATAGCGGGAAAATCGCGGCGCGTGGCACCGCGAAATTTGGTACACCTATTCTCTCATCAATTTTACACATGGTGTGCAAGGTTGAACCTCCAAACTTTTAAGGTCAGGTCACTAGGTCACTTTAAATGACCCAACCTCAAGTCACTTTTTTGCAACTTTGTCACTGTGCCAGAGCTACAGTAGATGTCCGAGGCCTTTGAAAGTCGCAGGATGTTATTAAGTCAATAGTAGCTACAATTTGTATCACTCGGAATTTTGATATCGGTGACCTAAGGTCAGGTCAATTTCTCGACCTCCCCATTATAAGTCAATGGGGGAAAAGCCAACTCCTTGTTTTTACCATTAAAACGGGTCGGAATGGCCCCATATACCATACATGACTTCATATACGATCAACTTTCACTAGGTCACAACCTTGAGGTCTGTTTTGCTGTTGGGCAGCTGTAAGGTTATATGACGTCATCAAAGGTCACCAAAGGTTTTTTGCCAATAACTCCGTACAGGAACAAGATACAGCCGCGCGGATGGTCTCATTGTGTTCAGCTCGTCAAGACGCATCGAAAGATATACATGATGACCTCGAGGTCACGTGACCTGAGGTAAATCTTTGACCTTGACCTTTCGAGGTCAACATATATGTCATTCGATGCGGATTGACGAGAGGATCACGATGATGCCCTTAGTTTGTTCCTATCTTGACTAATTCGAAAGTTATTCGAGAAAAAACTCTCCATATCTAGCGCCGCCATTTTGACTTTTTTTACCCCTGTGACGTCATCTTTGACCTGACCTGAAAATGACCTTAGTAGAAATTGTAGACCTTGTCCGTACGTATCCGATGCCGTTTAGGTACTGCTTGTCGCTATCTTGCTTCGTTCTCGAGATCTCAGGGGGGGGGGCGGTCATCCGCCCCCCCTCGTCGGTACTAAGTTGGCGCAGACCCCCGTCGGTGCGCGTGTTAACAGTGGGTGCATCTTCACGCGATACCTCTGCAACTACCTGTGTGAAACACTTTATCTTACCAAAAACCATAAACGTCAGTGTGGTATCGCATAAAAATACAATTCTATCGAAAAGTGTTTGTTTATTTCAAACAACCTGCGGTTATTTGCGGTGCTGGTGCACCATCTTGTTCTAAAACACACGTCACATCAGTAGGCATGCTCCCTGCGTACCTATACAAAAACTCTTATCTGTAGAGACTATAGAGTATGTACATTGTACATGCCGTGCTATCTTATCTGTCCACATATCGGTTGTGACTTTTATCGTATGAGTATAATTACTGATAACTGTGCATTCTGAAGGATTATTCATAAACATTACGAGGAACGCGGTCAAAGCGGATGCAATAGCAGCACAGTTATATGTGTGGACTAGTTTGTGTGGTTTGACCCGTTACGAACCAACAATTTTCCTTCCTCTCTTGAACTGGCATAATGGAAGGTTTTAGCTGAGGAAAACTACCCGGAGATCGGTGAATGCTTGTATAAGTGAAAATAATTCGATTTAAAGTTGACAAATACATTACGGACAAGGATCACGCAAGAATGGGCTCAATCTTCTATGCTTTTCGGCATCCTGATTTGTTCGGTGTCGTCTTGGTTGATCGGACTGTTGATAGTTGCTGGCAATATCCAAAAGATGAATTGTCAGCTATATGTATGTAACTACAATGTAGCAAGAATGAATAATAAGCTTTTGCTCATAACTAAATGACGCCGAAAAAATCCAAAGTTAGATTTATGTTTTTATTTTCTTTAGTTATGAGCAAAATGTTATTATTCATTCTTTGTTCAATCACGATCATGCTAAAAAACGTTCCAAACAATTCACAGTTAAATATGTCACATCAAACTTTACAATCTTAATTCTTTTGTCTTTACTTCAATGATCAGGATGCTGCAGCAGTGGAAGAAACGAAACGCATTAGCCAAAGGAGTTGGATAGCGTGACAGTTCAAAGTATGTTACATAAGCACCTGTTTCGTACAGCCTACGATCAGGAATTATGTAAGAAGTGCCGTGCTGGGGGCCTGGGGCATTCTTCTCAGCGTTTCCGAGGTCACGAATGGAGGATTATGGGATCACCGGCATTTACACGGCTTGTCTTCAGAGACTTACGCAGCCTCTCATGATTGATGCAAGCACAGTTCGTGCCTTGCATATCCTCAGTCTGGTTCGAGACAACAATCATGGACGGTATCTTTGGAACGGTATATTCACACCCATAAATTTCCAGACTAGGTGACTAGAGGACGGCTAAAGCTGTATCGGTGTAGTTGAACCCATGCAAGGCGGCAGTCTACTTTTTATACCCCTGCATTTTTGTTTCCTCGTCTTAGATTCAACCTTTAATTCCACTTTTCAAAAATAATATGAGTATCGGCTCCTACCATTCATCCAGAAGCCCGTTTTGGCACGTGTTTATCCATTACCGCGCACTCTAATCTCGCATTTCTCAATTATGATCTTGTTTACATTTTATACCTAAATATTTATTTCTTTATGTCCCTGCGTTATTTAAACTCTACAAATCCATGTTTTATATTCCACTATTAATTATGTCCTAGCGCTTCTTTCATCACATACTCAGACTTCCTAGTCTCTCTCTCTCTCTCTCTCTCTCTCTCTCTCTCTCTCTCTCTCTCTCTCTCTCTCTCTCTCTCTCTCTCTCTCTCTCTCTCTCTCTCTCTCTCTCTCTCTCTCTCTCTCTCTCTCTCTCTCTCTCTCTCTCTCTCTACTCTCTCTCTCTCTCTCTCTCTCTCTCTCTCTCTCTCCCTCTCTCTCTCTCTCTCTCTCTCTCTCTCGCTCTCTCCTAGTCTCTCTTCTCTCCTAGTCTCTCTTCTCCCCTCTTCTCTCTTCTCTCTCCTTCTCTCACCTGTCAGTCCGAGTATGACCGGTCCAGCGGTCTGCAGTGCGGTCAGCAGCTCCGGACTGGGCACAGAGCCTGGGTAGTGGTGGCTCAGGATGAATATCGATATCCCGGTCACCAGCATTGGCAGGCAGATCCAGGGCAGGGCGCGCATGTATCGGCCACACAGGCGCACACTGGTCGGCACCTGAGAGGGAGGGAGACGGGGAATAATGAGAGATTATCACGGTAAGGGCGGCAGACTGTGAGGGCAGTCAGCATTGGGAGGTGTGTGGAATGATCTGGGAAAGAGTGCGGATTGGAAGGACATGAAAAAGTCATGGGTACCGGCTCGATGTATGGTGACCTGTAGCCCGGTCAAAATAAAACGCGCTATGGACAATTTTACAAAGTTATCTAGGTTTCGGACACTTTGAATAACACGCCAAATACAGGGTAAACAGAAAATGGAACGGTCAGCTAGGGTTTTAAACAATGAAACGTCGCTCGCCGATACGGTCAGGTAGATTGCAAGCATGGGAACGATCTGTGGGTCACGGGCCTATTTAAACGGAAGATAAATGAATGGATCGCTTTGTCCTTTTTTCGTTCAACCTAAAACACCTAAGGCTAAAATGATTTATGGTTATTCGCTAATTGAATGCTGACATTATGACATATTTTTAAGTGCTGACCGACTAGCATGTAACAAACTGACTAAATAAATGCATGAAAAATAATTAAATACAAATTTGTGGTGACATCCATCTACCTAAACAATAGACAATCAACAAAGATAAATGCATATGTTTGTGTGACATCGATTGAAAAGCAGGCTGTTGTCCAATAAAACCACAGCCATGCGTCACGTGTTAGCTAATCCATGATCAAAAACGATTTACTTCCCACGCCGTTGTTGACTCGACGCCGCTCACCCCATGCACCCACCTTGTTCATTGGAGGTAGCTGGTGGGTTTCCGGGAATGATTCCATGACTACGTGCAGGCTGTTATCTTCGCCACACTTGATATAACTTTTCTATTTTTCTATACTTATTCGAAACAAATCTCCTGACATGTGTTAAGAGTAGGCAGTAAGGGAAATTACCTACTGATGTCCGTAAAATGTCTTGGAATTGGTGAGGCTACGTTTGACGCAGCAAAATAACCTCCGGAACTTCTTCACATCATCACATAAGTCGGCAGTGTGAGTAATCAAAACAAAATAATCCTCACATAGCTTCATTCAACCTCATCACTCTATACATTTAGGGCCAATCGTAAAATAACAAAGAAAAGAACGTGCAATTGTTAGAATATCATTTGCAATGATTTATCTACATGTTCTTATCTGTACGTACTGGTAAGGTTCAAGAAATTTAGAAACTTTTTCTTTGGATTGCGGTGCAAGATTTCATGATTGCTATGCAATGCAATTTCGTGACGCAAACAGATGAACGAAGGCTGATGAGAATAAGATGATCGATCATCTTATTCTCTGGGATCCTGCGTAATTGCAAGCATTCATTCGCAAGACCGAAGAGCCGTTCTGAGATTCTCGCAGGCTGCTTTCATGCAAGATGTTGAAGTTGCAGTTTGTGATCCCCTTACCCTGATGTTTTCATGAGTATACTGTATAGGCCTCTAAAATAAATACTCCCAAGCAATAAAAACAATTTTCGTTGTTATGAAAAGTACGAAATATAAGCTCAATATAATGTATCATTTCCGGTTTTGTTTCCGGACTTAATGTATTCAAAACCTTGATGGCTAGAACAGCAACAAATTCAAATGCAAAAATTGCGGATTCATGTACCTGACTTCGCCAGACGTAGCTCGGCTGTCTCAAACAGTCAACTACCAGCCCTAAAACAACTGTTCTGTGAACGTGCGACTGCCACACGGCTCAGGCAACAGCGACAAGATTACCTAACGAAAAACTGAAAGGTCACACAATGACTCACTTATATAACAATATTTCTTCCAGCCATTTGTTTGTTTATGCCGATCACCACTGATTGAATTTTGCTTAGATTTCTTCTCTTCTGGTCCAAAGTCACTGTCGGTGCAACCCTCAGTTCAGCGCCCTCTGCAGGTGACAGCAGAGGCCTGCCGCCAGATGTCAGCAGTGGCGCGGGCATCTCTCCCTCCAGGACCTCTCGCCGCCGCCGGAGCCCGATGTTGACGTCGAACTCGTTTCCGAGCAGGATGGGGATGGTGGCCAGCAGTGTGGCGGCGAACGCGAACACCAGCAGCTCGTTCTGCAGATTGCCATCAGAGTCCAGCAGGTTACCGATGTCGGTCATACTCATCCGAGGCTGGACGGTGATCGTGCCGACAGCAGCTGCCGAGAAACGTCAGCAGGGTCAGGCTTGGGGAGAGTGTGTGACACGCGTTAGTTTGCTCGAGGGACAATTGATTATCAATCTGTGGTTTATAATTTTATCTAGTGGCATAGTATAAAATACCTAAATCATTTGATGCATTTCAATTTACCTATATGCCATACGTGCTGTGCACACTGGTGCCTTTCGTTTTGCTTTATCCTAACCTACCTAAAGGTCAGAAACCATTGACAGATTCTAGTAGACGAATAGCCCATAGCCTCTAGAACCCATGAAGTATTGACCGAGGGTCATAATTTTTGCGCAAGGGCGAACTTATTTCCGAACGGACAACCAACCATGCCCATGCAGTTTTGGTGCTTCCGTCATAGGAACTGTTCGCCAAGGTATCAGCCCCCTCCCCCTCCCCGACCGGTAGCAATATGAGAAAAGACCTGTCTATCTCTAATAAATGGCGAGCTCTAAAGTCGTACAATTGATACGCCATCTCTCGCCAGGATGCGCTAACGAAATTCCAAACCATAGATGGCAGCAGCGTCGAGCGCCTGTAGGTATGCTGTGCCGCCGGGCAGGAAACGCCGAATCGGCCGCTCTCCGCACAGCGCCGCCGGAATGTATGACCTTTTATAATAAGCCTGATCGAACATAATTAATGAGAGTTGATAAAGTGTCTGACTAAGTGAACCGGGTATGACCTTCTACTTTCAGACGTATGCCTATAGATATTTTGAAGTTGATTATGGACGTCAAATTTTAGTTCCATTGGACGTGTCTCGAGGAGAGCAATACAACGCTGGTAAAGTTAACCCGGCAGGCGGTGGGCCTACCAGCCACCTTCCGCGCGGTGGGGGGGGGGCACTTTTTTGCCCCCCCCCCGTATCTCCGAAACTACTGGACGGATCCGGAAAATTCAAACGGCGTTCGATAGCCCTGTCAAATTTGACAAGGGAAACCAAATATCATTGACCTCGGGGTCACCGATGACGTCACAGGTCAGGTCAAAGATAATTTTTTTCACCGTTCACGGGGCTTCTAGGGAAAGCGCTATAACACCGAGTAAAACGCATTTTGTCGAAAAGCAGCGATAAGGCGTCAGTTGTCTAGTACATATGTTGCTATTAGAGGTCACTGGTCATACCAGGTCAGGTCACAGGTCAGGTCACCAAAGGTCGCCAAGGGTCACCAAATGAGCCCAGGATAAATGATAACAATAACACGTCAAATGTATATTTAAACACACAAAGCTTTCGGTATGAAAATACCTTGATCACTGTGTTAACAGAAATGAGGACAGAAATTGTCAGAGGTGACAATTTCTGTCCTCATTTCTGTTAACCCGCGAGTTGCTGGGGGGGGGGGCGTTAAACGCCCCCACTTTTTTCGCCGGGCCATAGCATAAAAATGGCGCGCCGCAGGCGCGCCAAATTTTGGGTACCTGTAGGGAATTGATTGAAGTTCATTGTGACAAAGTTTCAAAAAAATCGGTCGGAAAATTTTTGAGATATCGAGGTTTTGGTGACGTCATGATTTCTGAGTTTTCGACCAAAAACGGCATATGTTCAAAAAATCATATAAAATCACAGAATAGACATACAGACATGCCGTAAACGCCATTAGACTGCCAATACCATGATCAATCAAATGGCTATCTTCGATTATTGATTACCGTTCCACATTTTCCAAAATCTTGAACTGAATCTTGGCAATTTTTCGTGACTACTTCACGACCATGATACATGAATTTCTTAAATTGAAGTTTTTGAGCCAAACACGTACACATATGATAAAATGAATGTCACCATCGTGTTCTACGCCCCAAATTACTTATAAAACACGTGTCACAGGCTGCGAATATCAGTTTTGATTTTCGGGGATATGTGCCTACCCGGTTGACCTGACCTTGACCCTGACCTATGCGTGACTGACCCCTATATGGAGCTGACACTCTTGTAGGCCTTATAGAGTGGATTGTGCACCGTTTTGACAGAGTTTATGGCGAGAGGCGCCCATTGCGAAGTCCTGAAGTCCATGCTACTGAAAGCCCGATTTCAGGTGTTTGACCTGACCTTGACCCGACCTGTGACCTCAAAATTCAACTTTTAAGTACTCATCTGAAGCGTCTCGTCGCGCTCTTTCGTTTGCCGCCTCGTGCGTTTCGCTGCGCCTATTGGTTCTCGAGTTATCGGCTGGGGGCGTTTAACGCCCCCCCCCCAGCAAACGGTGGGTGGCGAAATACCCCAGCAACTGCCGGGTTAACACAGTGATCAAGGTATTTTCATACCGAAAGCTTTGTGTGTTTAAATATACATTTGACGTGTTATTGTTATCATTTATCCTAACTGTCTTGGATATTCTACAAATGAGCCCAGCTTTACTAAGGTTATGCGATGCATGTTTTATGGCCAGTTTTTCATTTCCAACTCAATGGTGTTGGTTATAAGACCATCAAGTACGGTTTAGGTCACTTTCTGGTGGAGGTCAGGTCAAGGTCAGGTCAAAAAAGGTCAAATTTCAAAGTTGATAGTTTTGCATAAAATGGGTATTGATTCGATGCAGCTCGTCACGGGGAGTCTAATGGTGGTCTTTGTTTTGCGCTACGAGGTCTAGAATTGCTGAAAATTGAGTTTGAAAATTTGATGTCATCAATTTTGAACAGTTTTTTCGCTATAACTTGGCCAAAAAGAGAGGTATCGATCTCAAATTTGGTATGTAGATAGAAAGCGATAGGGGCTATCACGTATATTCCGTTTTTTTCGAAATTCAAAAAACTTTTTGGATTTTTTGGCTATTATATTCAAAAAATTTATTTTTCATTTTTGGGGGTCAAAATCCAAAAAAATCGAAAAACCGAAATAGCAGTTTTGTAGCCCTCTTAATTCCACACCTTTTATGTCTGAAACATTTTTCTGTATCTCTAAAGCTGTAGGCCTGACAGCTCTTCCCGCGAAACCTTTTTTTGGGTCGAAAATGGCAAAAATGACGTTACTCTGACGTCATTAGCGGCCAACCTATCATAGCCTTTGGAAAAAGTTTTGGTCACCATGTGCGCTAGCTGCTCCCGGGAGGGTACTGAAAGTTTGGTGACGATCGGCGCAGCGATTCTCGAGATATATCGAAAAAAACTAAAGGGGGGCAAAAAATGCCCCCCCCCCCCCCACCGCCTGGAAGGTTAATGCCAAAAACTAAGCGTCAGAGGTACTTGCTGTATAAACTTGCACCAGAAAGTTTTTTTGCCATCTAAGGGCAAATGAAAAATAAATGAATCTATCTCAATTATATGAACCGAAAGTCTGAGGACGCAATAAACGAACAGCTAGCAGAAGATATTTCCTATAGGAAAGCTAATAATTGTTTATTCATTGTTCTATCTTTATCATTTTACATAGTAAATGCAAAAATAGCGTGAAAGAATGTCAAAGATGTGACAAATTAACCTTCAATGACCTCTGGCGACCTTATCTTTGACCTGACCTTAGAATGACCGAAGTATGTATTTCTTCATAATTTTGCCCCCATCTGGCACCGTTTATCTTACGACGAGAAGGCGCCCTTAGGGTCATTACAGAAGGCGCAAAACGTCTCACCACCGTCTCGAAATGTTACTATCGGACCACTGCGCGCCCCAGGCGTGGAGGTCGTCTGTCATTCCAGTTGCTATAGACTGTATGAAACGACTTTAAAAAACAGTTAGCAACAATAAAATGAAGCTCCAAGTAATTTCCCTAACTTCAACGCACATTTATCATGATTGGTTAGAATAGTAATGAAATAACAGATGTTACTGGTTTAGCGTTTTGCAAAGCAGCTTCAATATCCAATTACTGCAAATTCGGATGAGTTTACCGCGGGCTTTAGTCATTAGGCAACTCAAGTACACCGACATACGCACGCGCTGACGGGGAATCAATGGGATATCACGCGATCCAGCGGGTTCTGTCCGGTGTGGACCGGATCGGTGCCGAGTTCGCATGCACAGTCTCACCTGGTCCACGGTCCGACGAGGTCACTTGGTTTCCCATCCTCTACCTGCTGATGCAACCACTACAACCGCTGCAAGAATTGCGTACTGCGTGCGGCCGACCTACGCAGCCTCGGCAGCGGACAGAGTTACATCAGCTAACGGCCGACACACGCTGCATCAACAACCCCAACTCAGCTCTGTACGACCTTTGTGTGCCCTGTGTGTGTCTGTCACCTATCGTGAACAGGGGTAACGGTGCCACTGCGTAGAGGTGCAAATTCGGACACCCTACAGCCTGCCCACTCCACCGAGCGTCACAGTACGCCACCCAGCGTGACGGATTGCATGGCGTGTTGTGCCATGGAGATGCGCGTTACGCTCTAGTGGGAACGTACCGCTAGTTGGGAGCTGAAACCGGGCTGGGGGAGGTGCACCTAATGCCCGGGTGATGAGTCTGGTCTGAGAGGTTCAGTGAGTACAGCGGGCCGCCTGCTCCACTTTTGTGCTCCCCCGTCCGCATCATAATAGTGTGCAGCCAACACGCCGTCTGTCGTGTGTTTCGCCGTGACGCTAATGGAGTGATTCCTGAAAGCAGTAGGTTGTATTGCAAGTAACTTTTGCATTCGTCGTATCGGCTCGATTCAAATTTCTTTCGTTCGCAGGCGTAGTCATAACGATGCTTATCCCATTGACACAAGTGGATACTTTGTGGTATAATATATATTCTTTAAAAATATGTACAATCTAGCTAGGTCATCGGGCCGGGTCCCCGCTGGGCTGTAGTCACAGCCACCAGCCACGGCGCCTCACCGGAAAATTGCACAAATCATGAGCCGACTGTCTGCGGGACCCGCCGGGTGGCCGCGGGGCCCGTTAGCCAGGCCCGCGTCCCACTCTTCGCCGGGCCCACGGAGCCCTGCCCGGACCCCGCCGGCGACCCGGTGTGGCCCGGCCGAGCCGAACGCACGCCCACACGCACGCACGCACGCATACACCGAACCGCGCGCCGTTTGCACACGCCCGGGACCATACCCATAAATAGCATATCTCTCTGCAAAACACGAACATGGACCAACACACGGAATCGACAAAACGGCTAGAGCATTGGTAATAAATATAGCTGTCCTCTGGCTGCGCCGGCGCTGCCGGTCTGGTCGGAGTCGGTTACAGGACAACACCGGACTCTGACCACTGGGCCGAATACCCGACCTTCTGACTGACTGACTCACTGACTCACTGACTGACTCACTGACTCGCTGACGACTGACTGAATAGACTTTGAGGCACAGTCTCACATAATTCGCTCGCGATTTGTGGCTTTGCGCGCACCCGCGTTAAAAATACATGTCATACGAAAGCTCGCGGTATTGTAATTTACCTAGAGGTCTGATTCCTCGGCCAGTCCACGGGGCGTACTGGCGAGGGCCGCGGCTAGCACGGCTCGGCAATGATCCCCCAGGGTGCGCGCCATATATCGGTAACTACCAAACAGTTGCTGTGGCAGCACAGGAACGTGAACACTTCGTAAAGATCTCATAAAACTTGTCAACATTCACAACAGAACAGAAGGTTGGTTCGCCCGCGGCGCCGCCGCGACCCTCACCCGTAGCCCGCCAGCGCCAGCCGACTGTAGCGGCGGCTGACGGCACTGTTTGTACTGGATCTGGCCACCAGGGGCGCTGCGGTCGCTCGTCAGTGGAGACCGGCCGGCCGGGGCCGCGGCGACTGCAGCGAGCTGAAAGGGGGCAGCGGCGGCAGCGGCGGCAGTGCGGTCTGCACCACCACGCGCCGCTCCACGGCCGCCTGCAGGAACCTGCGCTGCTTCTTGGGCGGCAGCGCGTCAGTCGGCCAGTCGGCGTCAGCAGCGTCAAAGTCGAGTCGACGCTGACACGAGAGGTGTCGTTTCTGGCCACGAGGCGCGGCGATCACCTCGATCACCTCGATGTCAGAGTCGGAGTCCTCTCGGATGGGGCTGGGGGAGCGAGGGTGGGGCGGCAGGAGGGCCGAGGACACCCACTCCTCTTCCACCTCCTCTTCCATGCCCTCCTCGTCGTCCTCAGTCTCCTCCTCTCGGGACTGGCCGGCGCCGCAGGCGCTGTCCGGACTGACGGGGCTGGCCGGCAGCGTCAGCAGACTGGCCACCTCGTCCAGCGGCGTGCCCGGCTCCGTCTCCCACTGGGCGTCATCGTCTTCCACGACGGCACCCTCGGGGACCAGGTGCCGGGTGTCAGCCGGCACGGCCAGCTCCAGGTCCGAGTCGTACCAGCCCAGCTCGCTGCTGCAGTACGGGTAGTTCTGTGGAACAAGACAAACAGTCGGTCAGCGAAATGTAGCCGTAAAAGTCGGAGATAACACGGAGAGAGATCGGTAAAGCCTTCAGTGCCAGGAAGTGGCTCCCGAGTGTGAGGATAACTGCCAAACTGTCCAGCTACGGTAATCGTTCACAGTTAAGCCATGGCAATGTGACAGCAATCTAACCGCGCTTCCTGAAAACAGTCGCCCAACCCGTCGGGCCAACTTTCTACGGACGGTGTTGTCACAAGTCGCCAGCGACCTCTCACCTTGTATTTGGCCGGGTTGTCGTAGCCAGTGCCGGCGCCCTTGTCTCTCCTCTCCTTTTTCTGCGAGGGCACTCCGGAGAAGGCGGACGGCAGGCGGCGCGCCGAGTCGTCTGCCGGGAGCTCGCGCACCACGCGCCGGATGTCGAACGGCGGATCGTCGTGCCGGCCAGAGGCGATAGCCGGCCAGTCGAGCGGCGCGAAGAAGGCGTGGTTGGGCAGCTCGGCAGCCGTGGGTCGGTCGGCCGGCCGGCGCTGCAGCAGCGTCTGCACCATGTTCAGCGCCGAGAGCACCAGCGGTCGCTCGTGCCACAGCAGCACGCCCAGCTTCTCCTCAACGTACGAGTGGGGCAGCTCCACCGGATCGTGCAGGATTGAGCTGAAAAAGAGAGAGACGAGCGGTCAGATCTCGGCCGGGGCGGGGTTCGCGGAAATTCCTGACAGGGTGACAGGCGGTGCCGGGGCGGGCCCAGGCGGGGTAGAGCGGTGGAAAATGTGAAGGGCGCGAGCTGTGCGTGTCGATAGAGCTGCACGACCGGTCGCGCGACTTGGCTGGCACTTCCAGCTGCCACGCCGGAATCCTTTCACTTTCGGAGTTGGAAAGAGAGAGGGGGCGGCTCGGAACGAGGCCAGTGGGTCAGGCTTGCGACAGCGCGCGCTCCGACCGACGCGATTCGATTTCAGCTTGCAGGTCAGACGGCCTGCACCAATTGACTGGTCAGCAACAGACGCCGCAACAACTGAGCTGCAGTTTCTATCGCTTTTCCCAGGTAATGAGTTTCTCCGGGCCGAGCTTAGCTATTTCACGACAGCATGCATGGCGGTATGCTGACGCGCTAGTTGACATTTGCATGCCGCCTCGGGAACAATTTGAAATATGTTCTATCTTGAGCCGCTCATGATTTACGGTATCAAAAATAGGCCTCTAGCTCGGCCACTGTGAATTTAACCTTTAGACAGATAGGTACTGTGCAAACCGCGCTGTAGTTTGTTCACGCTATGACCGGCACAGGGCAGCGGAAGTACACAGCACAGCGCTGGTGAGGTCGCTCCACCCGCAGCCGTCGGTGACGGTCGGCTCGATAGCTCGGCCGCCGTGCCAGCATCGATTGTCCGCCGTCGCCGGCGACACAGCGTTCAGCGTAAGTCCGACGGAAACCCACCGACGGAAACCCTCCGAGCCTTAGGTCAGGGAGAATCCCCGGGCACCCAGTAAAAACACAGAGTATTTAACGACAGCTGTAAGCCCCCATCTCGCCCACATGAACACCCTCTGGCGCTATTATAGCCAGCGCCGGAGCGTTTCTACGCAGAAGGCGTTTGAGGCGTCACAAGCGAACAGATGCGTAGATCAGTTGAACTTACTGTTCCAGATCGATGAGCTGACGTCCGCGGAAGGGCAGCTGGCCCACGATCAGTTCGTAGGCGATCACGCCCAGACCCCACATGTCGGCCTCCTGTGAACAGACGGGTCAAGGTCAGGTCACATCGCTGCGCACTACGGCACGTGTCGATTTATATATGCAGCTCCGCGCGGCGTGGTGGCTGCTCGATGGCGTGGCGGGAGGAGATAATTTAGTGGCCCACATCGAAGCGCCCGGCGCAATTTGTTGTGATAATGGTGTATGTGATCGAAATAGCTGCACTGATGTACGATCATGAGCACCTAGTTGGAGCTGATTTTATGCTGGTTCAGCATTTCTACAGAGGTTTCTAGCTTACGGCTCGTTCGATCTATTCGTTTTATCTGTGGACCTGTGTCGGCGCTGTGAAAGTGTCCGCCGAGACGCGTCTTTGTGCCGCCGTGAGGCGGCGCATTTCTCCTGTTCTGGCGATGTCACGTGTGCGTTGTCCCCGTTCGGGGGGGGGGGCAGCGTTCGTCGGCTGGCGGCGGTCGTCGGACGGGGTCAGGGCGAGGGCGGGGGCGGGGGCGGCGGGCAGAGGCACGTGGCCGGGACGACGCGGCCTGGCAGCCCCATCGATCCGTCCCGCAGCGAGTGCGTGTGGCCGATCGGTGACCCGAGGTCGTCGGACGACCCGGCGACGACGCCGACTGCGTGGACACATACACAGTCCCTCCCCCACAGATTGGGGATAAACCGAACGGATGGGTAAAGCCAGACCCAACGGGACATCCCCTTTAACCTCCCCTGGAGCACCGCTGATGTTAATCATCCCGAGGACCGCCAGAGAGCGTTCAGCGCCTCGCTTCCCACCGGTCCGGCGCCGTTTCGAGGCCGCATGGCGCCCCTTTGACCGGCTGCCGGTCAGGAGAGCCGGTCGCCGGTCATCAGATAGCCACCAGCTGGCAGCGCGCCCGGACTGTCCTCGGACAGACCAGGCCTCGGGCCGACCAAGCGGAAGGCCTCCCGTCCATACCACGGCTGCGCGCCGTGCCGCCGGCCGGGCCAAGCTCGGCTGGTCGGGAGAGCCGGCCGGCAGCTCGTCGCCATTACCGAGCGGCGGCTTTCACTTTCCAGCGCGGCCGCCCCCGCCGCGGCGCCGGACCGACGCGGTGGGGGTCGGTGGGGAGGGGAGGGGTTGGAAGAGCTCCGGCGGGCAGAGCGCAGCATATGGTGCAGGAGAGTCACCGTCGAGCTCCGTGCCGCTCCGTCGCCAGCCCCGAGCGAGCTCCGCCGCAGGTATGGGGCAACCGGCTGCGACACAGTGACCCAATTCCTGGGCGGCGCTGCCGACGGCCACGCAGCCCCCCCCCCCCCGTTCCACCCCCGCCGGTGCTGACCTCCGCTGCTGAGTTAGGGCCGACCCTGTGCCGCTCGCTATCAGCCCGACCACACCACAGCCCGAGTGACTGCTCGGTGAGACACGCAGATTTCACCACGCCCTGCGACCGACCAGGACTCCCAGGGAGTTACGGTCGACCCACGCGAGCCGCAGAGGGACCAACTACGACGCACCGGCTGTGTGCGCCGCCGCGTCGGCACCACGCAGCCAGTCGTGTGATTTGATACAGTCGACCGGGTGCTGCGATATATCTCCGCACAAGCGATAAATTACTCTCCTCCCTGACCGGTGGCGGGTTACGCGGAATCTGGTCAATCATATGATCGTTATAAATGCCGAGAAGACGCGGCAGCGCAATGCCTAGGTCGAGGTGTGTGCCTGACGCGTGTTTTTGCGTTCGCTCACGTGTGATAACGTCGCATGTGGTGCGGAGGTTTCTCGTAAACCATCCGCCGCAGCGCAGAGCCGCCTCCCACGACTGTGTTCGACGCCTGCCTTCGACGGAGCGCGAGCCTGTGTTGTGTAACTTGTCTGTGTGTCTGTGTGTCGTGTGTGTCTCTGCGCCCTCCGTGCCCTTGTCAGCTATTCTGTGGTCCGTCTCAGGCATCTGGTGTGCGCTCTGTCAGAGTCCAGACGCTGTCGCGGCCCTGACGGGTCCGCGACCGACCCTGGTCGACGCGCGGAGTGCGGAGTTGTCCCTGTGCCCTCCCGACACACCCCTGCCGGGTACTCACATAGCTGTACTGGGTCGCCGGTCCATGCGCTCCGTTTGAGCGGATCACCTCCGGGGCCATGTAGTCGGGCGTGCCCGTCTTGCCGGTGATGTGAGCCTGAGGACAGAGGGAGCGACCGTGAGACGATGAACACGCCAAACTCGTGCACTTCGCACCGGGCCGTGCTGGTGGCGCCGGGCCGCAGCACAAACCTGGATGTGCGCGACATTTACCGAGACGAGAGCTCAAGGCCAGGCGCCAGTCACGACATGCTTGTTGTTGTGCTCGACGCTCGTAGCGAGCCACAAACTAGCGGACTGCTTTAAATGCACAAAGCGCTGCGCTCGACCACTAAATGTGAAGGCTGGTACAAAGTTCATTTCAAAGCTGGCCGAGGAAATAAGTGGCCACCAGCGGCGAAACAAAAAACATCTTGGCAAACAGGCTCTCGGCGTCCCTGACTAAACGCAATCCCACCCGGCGCCAATTGTGTCCAGTTTTTTGTGCGTCTGAGGCGCAGGGTGACGAAAACGCGTCTCTCGCCGTTCACTTACCGACTCTCCGATCTCGAAGTGACGCGACAGGCCGAAATCGGCTAGCCGGATATGGCCGTCACCGGACACGAGGATGTTCTCCAGCTTCAGATCTCTGTACAGGATCCGGTTCTGTAAACCAGCGCAGAGAGGCATCGTCAGTCGCTAATCACACCGGACCGTCGATCGGGAGAGGGGTGGGGTAGAGTGAGAGAGGGGAGAGAGAGAGGAACCCAGGGCACCGGGTCACTCTCTGACGTCAAACGGCGCCGCAAGAAAGCTTGGCAGGCCGGTGTTGCAGCAGCCGAGTTTCGACGGCCTTGCATTCCAACCGGTGGACAGCGGCGAGGGCAACTGCTCTATCTCGGCACCTTGGCTCGCTCTCACCCTCTGCCTCCCATCCCTCTCTCTCTCTCCCTCCTCGGTACGTTGTAGCTCAGGTTCTCGGTTACATCAGCCCATGCAGTGGCCCTGTCCCGTCAGCCGAAATCGGGTCCCGTGCTTTTTAAATACCCCGTCTATGCTTTCTGCAATGGCTGGGTATACTGATGAGGGGCAGTGGAGGTTCTCACCCCGGATAGACTGGGTTCTCACCCCATGTGTACTGGATTCTCACCTCGTGCAGACAGTGGAGCGCCACGGTGAGCTCGGCCAGGATGAGTCGCACCCGCTCCACGTACTGGGGGTAGGCCAGCACAAACATTTTGCGCAGGTAGCCGGGCCGTTTGCCGGGCCCGGCCAGTGAGAAGAGGTCCCGTCCGATGGCATACGCTGTAACAGAAGAAAAAACATGTCAGCTGGGGTGTCGGGGTGGTGTATAAACACACCAAACGGCGCAGGGCTATCGTCAGATGTCAGCCGGATCCACGTCCTGGTTGATCGACTCTGACCGGCCTCCACCCCTACTTCCCTGTTCCCTCCCCTTCCCCTCGGTCCCCTGGTCTGCAGGCGCCCGCCTGGCATTTAACCGCTCGCCGCCAAGGCCGCGCGGCCGGCCGGCGGTCGGCCGGCCACCGATCACGACACCCTCGGCCGACCGGCGACCGTCAACCGTCGGTCAATCGTCCCCGCCGACGACAGAGACCATTGTCCAGCGTCGGCGCGACAAGGTCGAGCCGCACGCGCCCGGCCGGTGCCGGCTGCCGCCCGTCACCCGTCACCGGACGGCGCCCGGTGGGTGACGCCGACCGATTTCCCCGGCTCGGAGAGAGGCACAGCTGCTGGCTGTCAGTCGAGCACGCTCCGGTGCGCCGCGCTCTGCCCTGCCGAGCGGCGCCAGCAGCCGGCCCGCCGGGGACGCCCGCTCGCCGACGCCAGGTACCCAGCCCGCTCGATGGCCGGGTCAAGGCCGGCCGCCGTGTTTTCCAGCTGTTTTTCGTCGGCGCCGATGCTCGGCAGAGCCGGCGCTCTTTGTGGCAGCTCCACAAAGACGGAGTTCCAGGACGGCGCGCTCGTCGAATAACTACAGCGCATTCCCAGCACTGCTCCCCCCTCCCTCCCTCCCTCCCCTGTCGCAAGAAACGAATCGCTTAGTGCGCTGTTAATCCGCGCTCAGCGCAATGAAAGCTGGTGAGCGTTGCGCTTTGGGATCTAACCAATTCAGCCGGCTCGTTTTGTCGAGCGACTCGCCAGCTGGCGCGGTGTGCCTGCTGCCGGGAGCTCATGCCAGTCATGCACACCAGACAAACGCTGCACCGAGCCACCGAGGAAAAACAAATAAACCGGAGGGCGCGGCGCTCGGCGGCGTGGGCTACTCGCCAGTGGCAGCCACCAGCTGGGGAGTCCTGGGAGTACACCGAGTCACAATACGAGTCACGAGCCATATACTCACGGAGGGCGAGGAAGGCGCGAGGCGGAGAGGCCGTGAAGAAGGCATAGGCCAGGTCGGTGGTGTACGGCAGACCGCGCAGTCGGGGCAGGATGTCGCGCTCGACCAGCGCGGCGCGACTCAGACTGCTGATCTTGAGCGCGTAGCGGGCACCCTGGTCACGGCCCCGCCGCTTTTCCACCAGCACCACGCTGCCGTAGCCTGAAAACGAGGGAGCCATCGGTTACATAAGTGTATCGGGGCGGGACGGAAAATCCAATCATAGGTAACAATTGACTAAAAATGTGCACAAAAAAACTTTGAGTTGGTGGAAATAATTGGTAGTTAAATACATTGGCATTAGAAGTGTTAACTTTTGTTTCAAAACATCACGAGTTGTAAAAAAAATAACTAGCGATTTATCTGCCATCGAGCATGAGTGGATAAAGCCTCTCTGAGCCTAATCCGCTGCCCGGACCACAAACAGTTTCCCCACAAACTATGCCATAAATCCCGTCTCGACTAGTTTCTCGCCGGCGGCGTCAAACGCTCCCAGTCGCCGGACCGCTATCCTTCGGCGCCGCAACTGGGCGCAGCTCGCCGCGCTGCCCATTGTTCCGGTGAAGGCCGGCCGGCAGCGCGGCGCGGCAGTCGCCGTGACAGCCGCCCGACCGGAGGCGGCCTTCAGTGTCCCGATAGCGGCACGCACCGCCCGAGCGACGGACCAAGCGGCGGAGCGGCGGCCCTGACCGAGCTGCGTACCGCCGCACCGCCGCGGAAGGGGTCACGACGGACCCGAGTGGGACTGGAGGTCACCTGAGCACTTCCTCGGGTTCCTCGAAACGGGATTTCGAGACTAGACCGGTCAGTTTCGTCCTCACAACTGAGGACACCTTATTGTCAGAACTGTCTCCTTGTTGGATGAAATTTGTGTATTTTATGCGACACACCCCATCGGTTTCGACGATCTACACAGAAGCAGGAGCTCAGCGCGTCGCAACACGCACGGCACGGCGTCCGTCGACGAAAGCGGAGCGCTGAGCGCGGCGAAAGCGCCTCGCTGGAAAGTCGGCCGCTCGCGCGCGGCGCGCCGATATGTGTTTCTGTGTCAGCGGTTGCGCCATCTAGCGACTGGCGGCGCGGCGACCCTGGTGGGAACTTGACCCACTTGGGTCGGCCGCCACCGGCCCGAGTGGGCGGCGCAGTAAAAGGCGGCGGCGGCTCCGCGCGCGTTTCCATCCGTGTGATGTAACCGCGCGCCGCCGAAGGCTGGTGCTGGGTGCCGCCCCGCCCGTCAGTTTACCCGTCCTGCAGGCCCCGGTCCGGCACCGACCACAGGAGCGCAGCTGAGTCGCGCGGGAACCCACTTTCTCGGCTCAGCGCCGTCCGCAATCCCGTCACAGAGAATGTTCCATTTTTACTGAAGCCGTCCTGTCGTGGGAACGTCCCGGCAATGCCCGTACTACATTGAATTCACTGTACGGTGGGGAGACCCAGGCGCGCACGGGCTGTCCTCTCGGCCTCTCGCCTGTCCCCGCGGAGCCCCCTGCTGCGCAGTGGCCGCTGTACCGCCGCCGACAGCTCTGAGCGAGGCGTCAGCACGTGCCGAGGCCCGGGCGGCAGATCGCCGCACCGGTTAGCGGGCCGGGCGGCCAGGAACGGCGCAGTGGAGACGAACAACGGTTTGGCTGAGCGAGGCCAGGTGTGGGACATGCAGGAGGGTCGGGACAGTGGAGAGCGGACCCGCTGAGTTCGAGCGGCTGCCGGAGAAACCGGCGGTGAACCCAGATCGGTCTGACAGACCGGTCAGACAGCTGTCCCACACCGGCCGACCCAGGCTCGCCCGACAGGTGTCTGCTGCAGGTGTCGCCATGCCCCACATGCCGCATTGCATAGCCGACCTGCACGGCGGCGCGCCGAGTCTGAGCCCGCTCCGACCCGTCTCAGTAATCCGATTCCTCTCTCTCTCCCGGCATGTCGCCGAGTGCCGCCCGGCCGACCTCCGGCGAATTCCCTTCACCCACACACGCGCCGTCGCCGTGCGGACAGAGACCGGTCACCGACGCCAATCGACCCGAGCGGTGGCGGCCTTGGTGGCCGGCTGCGAGACGCGTGTCCCCGCCCCGCCGCGCTGACGTCACTGTGACGCACACGCACAGCAGCGCGTGGCGCCGCGCCCGGCCGCCGTAGAGGTCAAGCACTGCGCCGACGGCGGCGGCGCTGTTGCCGTGCGAGACGCAGGGTAAATCCCGGAGGACTGGTGATCGCCGATTGCTGATCACCCGAGCACCGCCCCGGGGCAGGCGGTCACGGTCTCCGGGTGCCCCCGGCCGGGGAGTGGTCGATGTGATGCTACAGGACGCCGGACGGGGCGCCGGTGAACCGCTGTCGCCGCCGGCAGCGATACCGTTACACCGGAAAAGCCGCGCACGCCGCACGCCGGGCGTTCTGCACAACGCGCCTTGCACAATGGCCCGCCGTCCAGCGTGCCTTGCGGGATGGAAAGATTTTCCTCTGAAGCTGCGGCTCGATCGAACGGTTTCCGATACAGGAATATTCCACAAGGCCGCGCTGTTTGGTGGCGGGTGATGCCTGTGGTTAGACGTCAGTCGTCATCAATAAAACCCGACCCTGCAGTGTATCTAAAATTCCGACAGTCGCGAATAAGCATCTGTGCCGATTAACAAAGACGACTGCTGAATAGCGCCCTCTCGGTGGGAAAGCCTGTCAGGTCGACTGGCTATCGAATGCCACTGCCGTCTCATCGCAGGACGTATTTTCCACTCTCTCTACTGAGTGTGGCGGCCGGTCGGTCGGTCCCAACTCAGAGGAAAACAGAGCGCGACAGGAGGGGACCGAGCCGCGCTGCCTGTGTCGATCGGCGGTCCGTCAGCCGGCGGCCGGCGCTGCACGGCTTCCCGCTGCAGTAGGACGCCCCAGTGCGCCGTGAACCCGATACACTGGGGGCAGAAGGGCCGCTCGGAATGCCGGAAACGGCGGGGTCGCCGACTGGCCAGGTGGCCGGTGTAGCGGGGCGGTCAGTGCACCCGCTCAGTGCCGCCCAGCCTCCGCGCGGCACCGGCGCCGTTTCCGGAGGGCGGCGGTGCGCCCGTCGCGCCACTGAGCTCGTTGTCTCTCACGGCGGAGAGCGGCGCGCCGCGACTCGGGGCGGAAACGCACTGCGTCCGGGCGGCCCTGGCGGGCACCGATCGGGCATTTCCGGCCGCCGCGCGCGCCGTGACGGCCGCCCGGCCGGGGCGGGGGCGGGGGCGGCTGGGAGAGCACCGTCTGCACACCGCCGCCAGCGGGGCGGGGCAGGTAGATAGCGTGTCGTGGTGCGGGCCGGACCTTGACGCTGCGGCGGGCAGGCCGGCGCGCCCCGACCCGAGGCAGGATAGCTCACCATCCAGACCGGATCTGCAGGAGGCGCTCCGGTCTACAAACGTCACTCCGGAACGGGAGGCCCCTCGACCGGCCGCGCTGACTGCCCAATACAGCAAGGGGTTCCCCGCCTATCGGCGCCGCGCCGGGCGAAAGGAAGCCGCTCGAGTCATCGGTTCAAGCCCTGTGCGGTTATCGGGGAGCCCCGAGGTCACTGAGCCACAGAGTGACCCTCCCGAGGCTCCCGACACCATTTCCAATCCTACTTGTCCACATTACTAGCGCCTGTACCCGCGTCAGACGGCCGCAGTAAGCTGTCTTTGAGCTGTCTTTGGGCTGTCTGTGAGCTGTCTGTGAGCTGTCTGTGAGCTATCTGTGAGCGTCGGTCGGTGAGCGGCCGGTAAGCGGTCGCGGCCGTCGACCCCGCTCGCTCGGTCTGCCACTGGTCCAGCTGATAACCGGCCTGTCCTCGACCGACGCCAGCCGGCCGCGCCGCCGCTGTGGCCGAGTCGCAGAACGCTAACACGCCTGCAGAGTGGCCCGGCCAGCGAACTTCGTAGAACGAGGCCGCGCGTCCGATTCACGCTACAGTGCTACAGTACTCACCTCCGGAGCCGAGCTTCTTGATAAAGCTGAAGCAGTCGAGAGATGTGCAGTCACCGGCCTGATGACGCAGTTCTGAAACAAAACAACAACACGTCAGTGGTGCGTCATAATGCGTCATAACGCGTCAAGGTGCAAACAGATGACGTAACACTGACCTCGAGTGTCCCGCACCCTCCCCAAACCTCCGCGGGTAATCCATGGCCATCGCGGCGGTACCTCGGCTGCAGAGTGGGACTGGGGTGGACCGACAGCGGCCGACCACACAAAGACGACCCGCGGCCACCGACCGGCCTGTTTGGCTCGACGTATCGGCGGCGACCGGCCGCTGGCGCCGCAGTCAGGGGCACGGGCGTCGGACAAAGGCGGACAGGCGCGCGCCACGGGCCGGACGAACGGCCTTGTCGGCCGTTGGCAGCGGCGCGGCGCCGACCGCACGGGGATCAGCGCGCTGGGGACAAACAGCTTGCAGGGACGGCGCCGGCCGGCGCGGCGCACTCGACCGGCTCAGTGAATTGAGGCGCACAGACCGGCCCCGGCGCCGACCGTATCAGTTTTTGTGGGCGAGGACACAAGATGAGCTACCGCATCTACGACCGGCTCGGTTTTGTTTGTGTAGCGCGGCTTTTTCGCGGTGCGTCTGATAAAGAGCGGCTTTGTTTTCCTCCGCTGTGTTTACGCCTGTGAGCCAGATTGCCCACAGATACTGTCCGTAATCCGCGGCCAACTGACGATCGCGGATCACTAAACGGTGCCGAAACACACGCCAGCTGATTGCACAAACGCCATTGGGAGATACCATCTCGCGGCCCAGAAGCCGACTAGGGCTATTGCACGTTAGGTATATGTTTGACAGTCTGGTCTCCAATGTATGCTAATTCACTCTGCAGGCTTATCCAAAGCCACGGCGTAACAAGCGCCTGTCGCGTTGGATATCTCCTCACAAACCTAAACAAGGTTTCCCAAACCCTCTGTCGAAACTGCCTTATCGGTTTGCACAAGACCATGAACAATACGATGGCAAATGAGCGACTGTGTGTTTCGGCCGTCCGGCCAGGGTCTCGGCGATTATCGTGCGATCGCCGTTTGCAGAGTCAACGGTACAGCAGCGGGGAGCGGACCGACGCTCCGGTCGTTGGTCTCGAGCCTCTGCACACCGCACATTAGCTCACTGTGAGAACACCGAAACGGTGACCTATCACGAGACAGTCTCCACACTTGAGCGCAATGACCCGACCGAAACCTATCCCTCCCAGATGCCGGACATGAAGTAACATTTCCGCGTCGCCCACTGGTGACCTGCGCTCGAAATACGCTCCGTCTCGCACTCTGTCGCCGAGAATAGCCCGGGGCACGCCAGTTATAGCCGTGCTCTCGGTACGGCCGGTGCCGTGCTGGAAATAGCTCGGCCGCCGCTTGTCGCGCTCCCCGTGACGTCACTCGAGGTCAGACGTCATCGTCGGAGGTGGCCGGAACAGAGCGGGGTGACGTCACCACGGCGGAATACGGTGGCGTGGCTCGGTGCGCCGGTGTGGGTGGAGGTGGGTGGGAGGGACTGTGACGTACGGGGTGGATGTTGGAGGCGTGCTCTGTGCTGGGCGGAGAGGAAAGGGCAGTGTGCAGGTGGGAGGACCGAGTCTGTCCGTCGGAGCGCGCTCGGCGGCAGGTGGTGGATGCAGGTGCCGTCGGCCGGCGCCGCCGCCGACACCGCGCACCTGCGGGCCGTACCAGACCGTACTGCGGGCAGGTGGGCCCTCTCTGCCGAGCCACCGCTTTGTCCCAGACCCGGCAGCACCCTCAGCGGCGCTCCATACCCGGTAAACAGCGTACCGAGACTCATCTGCCGCCTGCACACAGCAGCCAGCGGCGCGTGGAGCGAGCGTCCGCTCTCTGCCACACGCGCGCCGCCGTCATATAGGTCACAATGGACTCAGCGGCGGCGCGTTTCACAAGGCCCGCCGCTCGCGCTGTGGTGAAACGCCGGCTTCTCCGCGGTCCGGTGCGCCGCCGAGCCGAGGCCGGAGTCGAGCGGCCTCTGCGCCAGTCCAAATAACGGTGTGCGACGGCAGCCCCGCGGCGCCGGCGGCCGTCCTGCAAACGGTGTACGCTGGGCTCTGTACACAGGTTGAGCGGGCGCTTTTTGTCCGCACGGCCCCGCCAGCTGACGGAAGCTTATTGATTGTTCGCGGGATGTGTTACAGGATTCAGGAAGCCCGCGGTGACATGCTGGTTGAGGTAGAGTCAGTTGCAGCGGGAGGCCGTATTATTGTGAGCTGCCACCGGTCGACCTCCCTTTCCATCCACGCGCGGCCTCCGATGCGGCTCAGTTCCGCTCGGCAGCACCAAAACAGAGCAGCGCGCCCAGTACTGCGCGTGGCCTTCCTCGGAGCGCAGACCTCCACCCGGAAGGGTTCGCTTCCGCACGCGCGGCGGCGGCGGCGGCGCGGCCTCCCGACCGAACCAACACTTTCATGGCCGGCGAGCGAGCGAGCGGCGGCGCCGGCCGTGACCCAGTTCAAACATCGGTCGGTCGGGGACGGCCCACCCCCGCCGCCGCCGCCGCCGCCGCCGCCCGCACCTTTCCCGTGCGTGTGCACGGCGCGCCGTTTTTCCGGACCGTCAGCGCTCGTCGGCGGCGGCGGATCATAGCGGTGCTCGCTGGTTTGGTTCCGCCTCCGGCCGCCGGGCGGCGCTCAGGTCAATATCGTCGCGGCGCACAAGCTGCCTGGAATGATGACGCTACCAACGACGCCCTTTCACAAGAATCAGGCGGCTGGCTGTCCGCCGAAAGCCGGACCGTTGATCCTGCATCGTTAGGTTCTAGAATCGGACGGAACTCCCGGCGCTGGGGCTGGCCCACCGTCGAAACGTCAGCGCCCGTGCCGAGCCGGGAAAATCAGCGGTACTTTCCCAACAAGGGAGTTTACCGGTACTAGTCATCATCCGACCCGAGCGCAAGTCACCAATGCCATCACTATTGACTTCTGATCAATACACCAGTTAATCGTACCATCCCATCTTTGCTTTCACGGGTTGGGTGAATAGGTTTCCGAGCGTGATCATATGCCGGTCGTACATATAACGTTCACGCCATTTTCACAGCCAATTACTAATCTCTGAGTTGTGTGGCGGCCAGCGGCAGCTGGTGTTTCTCGCTCGTGAGTGCCAATGAGTGGGTCGGTATCGTGAAATGGGGCGCAGCGGGACGGAGGTATTCACGGGGCTCGTGCGCAGCGCGGCGCCAGGTGCAGTGAAGCGGTGCGCGCTGGGGCCTGTCGGCGGGGAGGTAACGGGCCGAGCCACCGAGGAGGAGGCGGGAGCAGCGGGATGGCGTCCGACCGCGCCGAGCGTGACCAGAGTGGAGCCCGGCGCTGTCGCTAAGCGACTCAAACCGGACCGACTGGCGCCCCATTGATTGACACCAGCCTACCGTTCACAGACCCGGCGAGCACAGACCGGCAATACCTCACACCCGCAGACCCGTCTACAGACCGGACAGAGTGGACATTAGTCACGGACTCAGTCGCGCTCACGGCAGCCGTGAAGCCCGAGAGAAATCCCTCGGCGGGTCGGCCGAGCCGGCCGTGCAATCGATGCTCGCCCGATCGATGGGACTCATCTCTGGCAGCGGGGCAAGCCACGGGTCTCAGGTGGGGAGAATGGTCCTCAGTGGACCAGTGGACCACAGACCACGGACCAGCGGCGGCGGGTCGAGCCACCGGGACCGGCCCATCTGGTCCGCCGGCGGCCGGTGTCGCCACAGAAACTAACGGTGACTGGCAGAACGCGCGGCGTCGGACACGATTCCGGCCTCTCCGGCCTCTCCCGGTGGCACGCAGTGGCGGCGTGAGACGGTATCGGCGGCAGGGAGAGCGGGCGACCTCCCTGGCGCGCTGGGACCCCCGGGGGGACGGCTACTCGGAGAGAGAGGGGAGGGCGCGGCGCGGGGGTGGAGTGGGCAGCGCACGTCTCGCCGGAGGTCAGAGGGCTCCTGGCGCCGCCGTCTGGTCTCCGCGACCAGACGGCGGGCTCGGGACTGTCTGGCGGCAGGCTCGACTCTCAGACAGCAGCTGCGTGGGCCGTCGGCGCTGTCTGCCCGGTTGACAGCCAGCCGGCAGCCGCCGGGCAACAGACTGCACAGTTGCCGTGGGGACGGAGCGCCCTGTCAGGTGCCCCCTCTCGGCCTCTCTAGCTCACAGTAGGCCGCCGAGCCGATATACCGTTTATCGCATCAGCTGTAACCTTGCACTCGCTTACAAATCCCCGTGGTAGCCATCAACGCTCGAACATATGGCCATCTCACCCACAGTAGCTTACATGGCGGCGTTTGTACATACATAGCCGTATCTCAGTCCTGGCCACTGTTTTGTGAACGTGCTGCGCGGCGCTCTCCCGGCGAGCTCGCCGAGCGACGTGACACGCTCCGGCGCTTGGAGAGAGCCCACAGAAACGAAAGCAGCCGCGTGCCAGAAAGAATGAAAGGAAGTGCGCGGCGCCACGGCGCTGGCTGGCCGCTCGCTGCTGACCTAGATTGAGCTGGCGGCGGACCGGCCGGCCGGCCGACCGGTGCTGGCTGCTCTGGTGACCAGCTTGTGCAGGCCAGGCCCCCACCGGTCCTGCCAGACCAGCCAGCTTGACCTGCTGCCGCGTCTGTGTATGTGGGACAGCCGGCCGCACACGGAGCCAAGTCAAACGGTTGGCTGGCATGTCCGGGCTCCGAGCCGGCGCGGGTGGAGGCTCGCCGGCCGCCCCCGCCCCCGCCCCGCCGCCTGACACCACCGCCGCCCCCGCAACCCACCCACCTCGCGCGAACATATGGGACACCGGGGACAGACCCACCAACATATGGCACAGGTGTAACAACACTGTATGAAGTTTATATACCGCAGACAACACCAAACAAGGCTCGGCGATGCACAATGAAAAATTGAAATGTTACACGGTACTCACCGGTCTGGGCTCCACACTGGCAGGTCTGTCCGGACTCGACGGACGCATCCGAGCGGGGACTGCTCGGACATGACTCGAAGCCGCTCTCCTTGTCAGTGGGCTTCTCTCGCAGCGCTGGCTTGCCGCGGGGAGTGTGTCGGCGACCCACGGCACGGCGCACAGATGTAGTCAGCGAGTCCTGGCCGGCTGGCCGAGAGATGGGGCACTGGATGCGCGACATGGCTCGGCGGACACTAGTCACTGTCCTCTCCGGGTGAGCACTGTCAGCGCGCAGACAGTCCGTCTGTCCTGGCCCGCACACCGCCACGGCACGACCGTCCTGTTCCCCGCCTCGACGCCTACTAACCGATCAGCTGTTCGGCCGACGGAGAACCACCTGACGGCGCGGGGCTCGGGATGCCGGCCGGCCCGCGGACGACCGCCGGCGGACACGCGAGCCGCGCAGCCACGCGCCGCTCCGCAGCGCCGTGCAACGTCGTTCGAGGTCAGCGCGGGGTATCCGGACCGGCCCTGCAGTGGGGGTCACCGCCCACCGGCGTCCGCAACAGCAGCCAAACGGGCGGCACGCACTCACGCAGCGGGCTCAAGGCGCGTGGCGCTTGGGCAAGGTTTGTGCGGAGGTGTAACCGTTGAGGGACAAGCACTACGTTGGGTGTTGCGGGGGCAAAAAACACAGCTGAAACCAGCCCCAACCAGAGCAGAGTTGCCAGCTGCAGCTGCCTGTGTTGGCAGCCGCAGCACGCGCTTCATGTTGCAGGTTTTGCAGAGTGGTACAGCGTTCAGGGTGTTGCCAGTAGTGGTGTCAACAAAGTCGATTGTCGGGATCAATAGGCGGTCGGTCAGGGCAGGGCAGGGCAGGGTGGGGAACGGCTACAGACACTGATACACTCACCGCGGCGCGATTGTTGAAGGCCGGGACCAGGCGATAAAGGAATCGGACGGGGGTGAACCGCTGATTTCACCGCTGCAAATCGTGACCAAATATGGATTTGGTGGGAGCGATAGTATGCATCGGTAGCCGTGTATCCACTTTTCGGTCTCCGGCAAGATTCCCACGTAAAAAATATGCAATATATATTCTGCTAACATATCACCAAGTAACGATTGTATATCCATCGTATTGAATGTCAAATTATTCAAATCTGCATTGAAACATCTTCCAATGAGCCGTTTTCCCTGTATTCATTTTCCCCGTAGCAATGCAGTTACGAGACGGTCGTGCGGTACAGCCTATCTTCAGGCGCTTACCCCTGGCGCCATCTATTGACGGGAATGTAAGTAAGCTCTCGTTGTCGCTATCACTTTTGTGTAACGAAAAAAGCGCAAAAGGAAAAAATAACCTGTTTGAATACAACATCAAATTAAATGTTTATGCGTTAGATTCTATCGCAAAGCATTCCAAGAGGCAATTCTCAACGAAAATGTTTTTTTTTTGTCAGTCGTACCTAGGCGCGAAATGTTTTTTTTTTTTTGTCAGTCCTATCAGTATGGTGTAGGCGCGAAATATGTTGTCATTCGAAGCGTTTTATTAATATTTTTGTCCTTGTCTTTATTCCATTACACACTTGGGTGTGTTTCTTTTATGCCTTTTTCTGCAAACAAATCTGATTGAAAATGCATGAAATTTAGGTAGGTATTGCAACTACATTTACAGCATAAAAATATTTTCAAAAGGACAATGAAGGAAAGTGAAGTAAATGTAGGTATGCATACCACATGAACCTGGAAAATCAGAAGATATTTGCATACACTGCCGCATGAAGCCATTGAGCATTTGGCCAATTTACATTTCTCCCCTGTCCGTCTCCGCGTTCCTAACGATGTGTGCTGACCACTAGCCACTCCGTTGGAGCCACATCCTGGATACATTCGACCACCAGGACTAGGAAGATGTTCGCGACAGGCGAGCGGACCGCCGAGCTGCCATTTTCCGCGTGCGGCACGGCGCGCGGCGAGCCCCGACAGGGACCTTGGAGTGAGCGGCGCGGGCCCAGCCCCGTGCTGGCAGACGCCGTGTGACTAACACCAACCACATCCAGGAGCTGACGAGGGTCACACCGCCGCGGCTGCCAGCGCTCGGCCCTCTGAGTCACGCTGTTCGCCAAACCCGGCCTCCGGAAAACGACCGTAGCAGCCCGCGCCGTCCGAATTTAATTCATAGCTCGTCGGCGGTGTCGTGATTATCCTTCTCGACGGCACGTCGGTGTCTTTGTGCTCGGCCGAGGACGGAAGGTGGTTTGAGAAGTTTTGTGGTCAGCGGGAGGCGCGCTTGAGTGTCTGCAGAGAGATAAGATTTCGTCCTTGCTCTGAGCATTGTGCGATGGTATAACTGCGTATGACAACAGTGGATGATTGTTATAAGGGGTGGGCAGAACGAACGGAATAAAAACTCATCAGTCCTGTTTTACTCCACGTGCGCACTTAAAAACTTCCCGGATGAACAACGATTCATCATCAACATTAGAACGCAATTCTAGGGACGCAAACAAATAGGTGCATGCGTACTTGGACTTTGATTTGACGATCGTACCGTACTGTGCGGCGCAAATTGTCTCATTACCGGGATCATCCAACCTGGTTCTTACGCAGTGAGCACTGAACGTCGGACAAAATCAGACGCAGTCGGGCGTCATGGAAGACCCTGTTCGCTCCTAAGCGCAGGGACGCTTAATTTTCACGATAGCATTATACAGTCTGCTGAAAGGCGCAGTTTTATACATAATTTGCTGCTCATTTTGATATACTGGACCTCATCTTATCTTTTTGTACAAGGGCAGCGTCTAACATGAAAAGAAAGGAACGGTCCAGAAATATCTGCGAAACAGGCCGATGTCTCTGAATTGTTTTGATCCCGCCTACTGAATTCCTGTCATTCTCTGCCGGTCGGGGACCCGCAAATGGCGGGGATTTTCGTCAGTCGGCCGTCATCCACTCGGTTGTCCTCCGGGAATGTCCATCCGGTCACGTCACCGCCGAGGCCGACTCTCAGAACCCGTGCGCGTCGGCAAACACAAACACAGTGGCGCCGGACCGGACCGGAGCAGACGGCCGGCTGAGGCGTATGTTGTGCGACGCTGACCTCTCGCTGCCGTTAGTTAGGGCGGGGGCGGGGGGACGGGGGGGGCGTCATCGTCCTGCGCATCCGTTCGCCGGCTGGTACCGGACCGCGCTCACGCTGCAGGTCACCTGTTCGACCGGCGCGCCCGGCGTCGGCGCGTGCCGTCATGACGTCACGCTCGTCGGCCGGTGACGTCACGCCGAGCGGCACACGCGCCGGCGCTGGGCGTTGCGTCACTGGAGCGGGCCGGTTGCGTCACCTGGTGCGGCGCGTCAACAGGCCGGCAGAATCTGGTCCGGGGCCGGATACCGGCGTCAGCGTCACGGCTGCAGATCGGCGAGCCCTCCCGATCATTGCCGCCGCCTGTGGAGCCTGCCGGTGCACTCGCACTGCAGTGTTGCACAGCGGGCCAGATGACCCGGGAGCTCAGAGAACTGTATGTACACAGACCGGCCGGAGCGGCCGGGCCGGCCCGGCGCGACAGGCGCTGTCGACGCAGGCCAGATGATCACCGCGATAGGCCGCACAGAACGTGACAGTGACGGTGACAGTCAGCTCACCGTGACGGGGGTGTCACGAACTGCGTCACACCCCGCTGGGCCGTAACAGGGTGTGACTCACCCTCAGAAGGTGTCTGCTGACCTGACCTGGTTTGGACACCCCGCTGAGGCCGGCCGCGCCACGGCGGAATCTGACCTGGCCTTGGCCGCCTGCGATGGCCACAGCGCCGTGAGGTCTGCTGAGGTTGGCACATCGATGGGCGTATTAGTCATATATCATTAGACACGATCAACAGATAATCAAAGGATTCGTCAGACGTGTAGGTACCGAGCGTCTGTCCCGAATCGCGGTCTTATCGTGCGGTTTCAACACGTCAGTGCCTGCGGTGGTTCATGCCGATCTGTACTTCACCGCCGGTGGCTTGCACCATGTGTTGTGAGCCGGACATCAGTTCACATTTCTGTGCACATAAGTGGTCAGATAACGAGGCGGGCCGCCGCGATGTTAGCATGCCGGCAGGGATGACGCTCCTAGCTACCAACATTCCACAAGCACACAATGGCACGTAACCTGCGACAACGCTCATGCCTGCGGCACAAAGCCACCAAATTCCTCCGGGATCATCCGTTTCATTATCTGGAACCTTTTGTCACACCATACCTTTGCTAGGATGTTATACGATAAAGCCAGCAGCAGCTGAAGCTTTCTTCATTTTCGAAAACGGTTCGCCGAAGTGCAGGCGCGATTGTAGGTCAGTTACAAACACTGAGTTCTTATGAAGTCGGATTATACAGATAAGCTTCTCGAGAGTCGGATATCTCTCTGTGGGCTCTAACAAGCCACCCATGCAGCTAGAGTGTAAGACCGCTGTGCTTTGTGAGGTATAGGGACAACTTTTTCTGGCGTACGTCGTGATGAAACTGATCGATATGACCGGTGGTAAATAAGGTCAGTGCATTTAACTACCTGCTGACATATAGGCTAGCCAAGCAGAACGTCCGACTGGGCTATTAACGGAATTGTATTTCTCTGAAATAAACACTGAAAAGTTAGCTGGGCTGGGCAATTGCAGGACTTTGAAAACAGGAATACCTAAAACATTGGTAGTTGTATTAATTCAGCAATACGACCGCTCGATGCTAAACTTGCATAGTGTGACTGTGTTGTGTTTTGTGTGCTCAGATAAAATGATTTCTTCAAGTTGGCCATTTGTCGGGCAGACGTTCCTCCAGGGCGATTTCCTCAATATCCACCAGTTCAGCCTATAAGTAGTTATCCGATACATTAGGCTCTATGATTTATACAGCTATACATAACGACGCGCTGGATGAGTTATGAGCCTTGCAGAAGCTTCATGAATGCATTGATTTGGACGCACACCACAGCGCCATTCCAACCTATAGCTGTCTAGCGGTCGGTGCGATGACGTCGGAGCTATTGATGATTGGGATGACGTGCGCTTCTTGCAGCAAGACTGGTCACATTTTCTTTATCTCATCATTTGATCGCTGTTTGTTTTCGTCCGAGGAATGACGTCATAGAACATCGCTGCCCAAAATCGCAGTGATATTCTGGTGTGTTCGTATTAGCGCAAAACTATCAACGCCTACAATTTGACGAGCGTGCTGGGGTTGGTATAAAATTTGACGGCAGTGAATGATATGCGGTTGGCCATTACGGGCACCATTTGCTGAGATTTGGCACCGTAAGAATTGAGATTATATTGAGTTTATGAAATGTAGTATGTTATTTAAGAAAAACAGAGGGGGGTCTCTACATACACTTAACCTTGAGTACAGATACCTTAAATACAAGAACAACAAACAAGAACGGTTATGGGGACGGGGTCAACGAACAATATCAACTAT